AAGTTGCCTTGTCATGGCATCTTAACACAGTAATAGAAATGTGACAAGGATAGTATTGCCTTAAGTGTATGCTCCTCCAGCTTCAGTCTCTCATACTGGGATTATAGATATTTGCTATCATGCTTAGATTAAGGCAGTGGTTTTTAAATTTTGTTTTGTTTAGGAATCATGAGCGCCAGCATAGGGTAAATAAAATGCATCTAGCTAACCCCATTACCAAATAACTTTAATCCATTTGATTTAGGGTTGATAAAATTCAGGATTCTGTGGTCTTAGTGGGCACACACCGTGTTCAGATGACATTGGCCTTGGAGCTTACACTGTGGCTCACCCACGAGGCTGTGGTACTTGAGGCTAAGGATATAAACTGGACTCCAGTTATGGTGAGAAATGACATAGTAGGCTTTAGAGAATAAGTAGAGATCAGAAACTGGACTGAGTTGAATGTCTGCATGCTTTCTTTGGTTAGAATTGTCATGGGGAAAGGGCTGGAGAGATGGCTCATCAGTTAAGACCACTGGCTGCTCATTCCAAGGATCTGGGCTCAATTTCCAGTACTCACAACCATTTCTAACTCTAGTTCCAGGGCATCAAATGCTCTCTTCTGGCCTCCATAGGCACTGTATCCACATAGTACACATCATATGTGCAGGTAAAATACCCACACATACTAAAATAAATGAATTTATTTAAAAAATGAGATAAAAAGTAATAATTGGTTTGGGAAATGGAGTGTGGAAAGTTTTGGTGCCTTCAGCTCAAGAGTTTCTGGATACCATAGCTGGCAAACCATCCTGTCTTCCGTCACAGTTGGATCTGGTGGCTACCTGAATTTTTTTTTTTTTTTTTACAATGGAAACCCCTTTGATTGGCTACACTGGAACAATAACCCTTACTTAACAGCACTACTCATTGAGTATTACATGATGACACTGAAAAGAATGTTACATATACATGAACACACATTCATGCACAGTCACACACCTACAACCCTCCCTTACACACTCACACACATGCACACACACAGACACACTACACACACACTCATGAGAACACACATAGCACATGCACACCATATACATACACTCACACACATGCACACAAACCACACACATTTGAATGCACACACGTGTGTGTGTCGTACACATACACTTTGAAACAGGTTCTTGATTTCAGGTTGACTTTTACCATAAATTCCTCCTGCTTTAGTTTTCTGAGTTCTGGGATTACAGGCGTGTGCTGTCTACACACAGCTGTGCTCCTGAGTTGAATTTTACTCACCTTGCAATTAATGTTAGTGCCACAGAATATCTTAGTGAATCAGGGAAGTTGATTCTTGGTATGTAGAGGGTGGGGAAGGAAATGAGCAGGGACAGGCAGGGGTTGAGATGCATGACAGCAGAGGTGAGTGGGGGAGTGCTTGTTTATAGGGCTGATTGGCATTGAGCAGGGAGCTCTGAGGCATGGAGGCTGTAGGAGAGGGTAAACATAGATTAGTTAGGACGGATGAGAAATTCCAGTAGTGATATTCAGGTGATTCAGGAATAGTAAGTGGAATGTGTGTCGAGGTTTATCCATTTCAAATTGTGAGCTCTGGGTGTATGTTAAGAATCTTTTGGTGGGAGGCAGGGCTCAGCTCCTCCTCACCCACTAGAGGATGTTTGACAATTTTTGGAGTGGCAGATGACAAACAAAAAACAACTCTAATGATCTCAGAAAGACAATTTGTCCACTAGCTCACTCACTCGTTTAGAGACTGACTCTCCACTGGATCTGGAGTTTTGTTCTAGGCACTGGGGACTCTGTCACCACGACAGTCAGTCCATTCAGTTTGTGTGGTAGCTGGGAGGATGATCATCAAACTAGTAAAGAAATAGGTGTACAGTGCAATGGCGGGTTGTGGGAGTTCTATGAAGAAAAGTAAAGCAAATAAATGTGGAGTGATGATTTCAGATTGGGCACAGCATGAGGGAGAACATCTCTGAAGAAATGACATTTGAGGAGGGACCTCCATTGAGATTGAAGGGTAAGCCTCGTGGACACTGGAGAGCTGTGTGGCCCAGGCAGAGTGTTTTCATCTGGGGCCTGACTTCATCTAGCTCAGTCTTGGGCCTGTGGGTATGTCCATGCTGGGGTGAGAGACATGTTAAATGACTCAGGCTCTGCCTGACTGATTCACTGTATTGGGCAACTAGCTTGCTTCTCTGAAACTTTTTTGTTTGTTTTAAAATGAGGATCTCATGTGAGTTGGCCCATATCTTTTTAGAAAGTACTTTTTACTATGCAATATCTCACTTATATACTATTGGTCACAATTTTTAAATTCTTTTTCTTTTTATTATTGAAAGAGGTGGGGCAGGGGAGAATATGTGTGTAGGCACACATGTGGAGGGCATGGGGCAATGTCTGGGTGTTGGGTCTCTCTTTCTACAATATGGGTCCTGGGGATTGAACTCATGCCATCATGTTTAGTGGCAGGCATCTTTACCTATGAGCCACCTCACCAGGCCTCTTTATTTCTCTCTCTCTCTCTCTCTCTCTCTCTCTGTCTCTCTGTCTGTCTCTCTGTCTCTCTGTCTCTCTCTCTCTCTCATTCTCTCTTTCTCTCTCTCTCTCTCTCTCTCTGTGTGTATGGGTGTGTATCTCCTCTCTTCATTTTTTCTTTTCTTTCAATTTTTTTTTTGAGACAGGCAAGCCTGGAACTCAGGGATCTGCCTGCCTCTGCCTCTCAAGTGCTGGGACTAAAGGTATGCACTGCCACACCTAGCCTAGAAATCCAGAAATATGTGTATTCTAGGCTGGATTTGAATTCCTTGGGCCTCCTACCTCTACTTCTCAGGCATATCCTACTGGCATGTACCATTGCAGCTGCTATAATTCTTAATAATTATTATTTTCATTGTCTTAAGTTAACAAAGAGTAGCTTTCATCATGGCATTTCCATCCCCTCTCCCTTTTGGCTTTGTTGAGATAGCCTCGTTTAGCCTGGGCTGACGTTGAATTTGCTATACAGTGGATGGTGGTTGGCCATAATAAGTTCATCTTCCTGCCTTCACCTCCTGTATGCTGGGATGATAGGCATGTGCCACCATGCCAAGATAACATTTTCATGTATTTGTGCCATTATACTTTATTCTTATGCATCCCTCCCCATCCCCTACTACCATCACTAAGAGGTAAATTGCTAACAACCAACCCAGCTGTGCTACCAGAGAACATAACCTGGTCTAGTGTACTTGGTGTGATACTAAGTCAGTTGCCCAGCGTTTGATTTTGTATCCTACTGATTTTCTTGAGTATTGTATCCTGCTGGGTTTCAGGTAGGGGCCCCAAGTCCTAGCTTCTAGTGTCTATTTTGTGGCTGACCATCTCTGGAGACCAAATTTGCCCATGCATGTGTGTCTATGAGTCTCTGGGGGCAGCAATAGATGGCTGTGAGTTCAGCCTATGAAGAATTGGTAGGCTTAGCTTTACTTTCACCTTATTTGTGTTCAACATGGTAGTCATGGCCGAGGGCAATGACAACATGTCAGAGGGGAACAAGGACAAATGCTATGGCTATGGGAGCCAGGTGTGCAAGGGAATGCTGGGACTGTGGGAGTCAGATATGCATGGAACCCTGGAGAGAAAGACACTTCCCCTTAGAGTTCTCTCTCTCTCTCTCTCTCTCTCTCTCTCTCTCTCTGTCTCTCTGAAACAGTTATGGAGTTAGTGTCCTTAGAGTGCTGCTAATGGGGTTAACCCAGACTCTGCCTTTGCTGTAGATGAAGTGTGGACAACATGCAGAGACTCTGACACCAGGGACCCTAAAGAGACAAGACACATGCTGGCAAGCTAAGGCTGAAGTGGTGTATGACCCACTCTCAGAGTTTGGATGTAAAGCATGCCGGCATGCTCATGTGTTTGAACACTTAGTTCCTAGCTAGTGGTATGTTCAGGGAGGATGTGGGACCCGGTTGGAGGAAGTAGGTCTCAGGCAGCAAGGAAGCCGCTCCCACTCCTGCTGCCACAGCTGTCCTCGCTGCTGTGCCTTCTCTCCCACGGTAGTGTGCCCTCAATCCTGGAGCTGTAAGGACTCGTCTTCCCTTCAGTTGCTTCTTGTTAAGTGTTTGGTTACAGCAATAAGAAAGGTACCCACCCCCATGTCTCTCACCAGCTAAAATTCCCATGATTTGATCTGGACTGTCTTGCTTATTTGGGCTTTTGCTGATGTATAGTATCCTTCTTAGTCTTCAAATACATCAGTAAGGTAGGGATTTACCAATAACTATTGAACAGGTGAATTGATTTGTGTTTTCTCATGTTTGCTATGGAGTGAGTTCAAGCGATATCTGGATTCCAGCCTGCTGCCTGCCACACTCATTGGGCAGCACTTCTTTTTAGCTTTCTTCTAGCCTTTCTGGAAAACCAGGATGCTTGGGTACAGTTCCTGTTTCTGAAAGATCCTTGACTAAGGCTGTCTGTGGTCCCACAGTGCCAAGGCAGTGTCTTCATCTCTTGCTGGGACAGCTGTAGAGTCTAATCCCTGTACGATTAGGCTGAAGTGGCTTTCTCTCTGGACACAGTCTTGCTTCTTTGTCCCTTCCCTGCTTCCCTATTTCCTGGGGAATACATGTGTGAGTTAAAATGGAGTAGGATATTATCCACTGCGTGTATATCTAAAAGAGAGTTCAGAAGCCACATCTAGGAATGACAGCTCAGTTCAGCACACAGGTGATCCTGGAGAGACTAATGATGTGTCACTTTGAAATACATTGACTTCATTCAAGAGCTCTCCATGTTAGGCATTGAATTAGCATCTACAAGGAGAGCTGAAGAACCAAGGGGGAAGACCTCAGGAAGTCAGCATGTCCAATGATTCTGTTCCTATGTTGGCAATCGGTCCAGGTTCTGATTTGGGACTTCACTGTTTCAGGAGGGCAGATGACTCTAAAAGGGGATCTGTTCAGGTCTGGAATCCAGAGTCCTGGAAGGATTCACATTGCAGGTCTCTCTTCTAGGGCCATGTTCTGCAACGACTTAAAGGAAAAGTATGAGAAGAGGATCGTTATTAAAGGGGTGGATGCTGAGACCATGCACACTCTGCTGAGCTACACATACACAAGCAAGGCTCTGATCACCAAGCACAATGTTCAGCGGGTTCTGGAGGCTGCCAACCTTTTCCAGGTGTGTGAACAAGCAAGTTCTGTGCTCTTTGAAGTGAACGGAAGCAGGGAGCCCCCAGAGACCTGCTTAGGCTGGCTTCTGGACCTATATCTGGGATACACACACACACACACACACACACACACACACAGAGAGAGAGAGAGAGAGAGAGAGAGAGAGAGAGAGAGAGAGAGAGAGGAAGAGAGAGAGAAACAAGAGACAGAGACAGAGACACATGCAGAGAAAGAGACAGAGACAGAGATAAACACAGAAACAGACAGAAAGACATATATTTAGAGACATACAGAGAAAGACAGAGATACAGAGACAAAGACACACATGCACATGTGCACACATGTACACACACACACACACACACACACACACACACACACACACACACACAAGGGGCAGGGTGAGCAAGCTTACCGGCAGGTCAGAAGATGCTTGTTCAGACACTTAGTGACAGGTGATGCGACAAGGTGTTTCCTGCTTTACCATATAAAGCTGGGGAGTGCCTGGTTCTACACTTGGTATCTGACTGCAGCACAGTGGTTGCCAAGTGCTGAAGCCTAGTCAGAGCCAGTGGTGCAGTCAGTGCTTCCTACACACGTTAATGTTAGCACAAGTTGGACGTGAAATTAAGGCGACACAGAGAGTGACTGAAAGTGCTGTAATTTGAAACCCAGCTTTCTGGTTGAAGAGACTACTGCTTGCCAGCACACTGTGCAGCTTTCAGGTGACACTGTCTAGATATGGGGGAAGCAGACATTGTATGACATGCACTTTGTGGTGGCTGTGAAAGGAGAGCATTGAGAGGTGAGAAGTGTCACAGAGGAGAGAGGACTTCAGAATAATGCTTTAAAGAAATATAGTGTTTATTCTATAATGTTTGCTTCATGTGATTGTAGCAGTTACACTAGCTTCATAAAATAATTCGACTATGGATAATATCAGCTGCATCCATAATTATAACAAAGGTCCTATCCAAATTATCCTCTAGGTCTAGAACCATACCATTGAACTTGATTCCATTGTGTTAATGTTGTTTCATTGTCTAGATGTGTGAGAAACAGAGTCCAGGGGTAGACCAGGTCACTTCCAGGGACCAGGGATAAATATCAAATCTTGTGCATGGTTTAGTTCTTATGGAGGTGGTATCTGGTTGTGTCATAATTAGCTTGGCGGTTGAGGCAAGCAGAACCAAAAGTCTGAGAAGGTAAGCATCCCTGAGAGGTTCAGGGTCTAAGATTGCTGGTAGTAGGATTAGATCTGTTGAGGCTAGAGTCAGGGAGGGATTTATAAGGTCTGACAAAAGATAGGATGTCCTTCTATATGCTGGGAATATATGTTTCTCTTATTGATTGATGAATAAGGCTGTTTCAGCCAATAGACAGGCAGGATGTAGCCGGGCAGGAAGTATAGGTGGGGCTACCAGACTAGCAGAAGGCTGGGAAGAGGAAGGCAGAGAGGAGACGAGAGAGATGCCATGTAGGTACCTTGAAGGTAGGATACCTGGGCATTCTCCAGTAAGCCAAAAACCACATGGAGATACAAAGATGAATAGAAATGGGTTAATAATTAAGAGAGAGCTAGTCATTAAGAAGCCTGAATCATCAGCCAAACAGTTTATAATTAATATAAGCCTCTCTGTGCATATTTGGGGCGGAATGGCTGCAAGGACTGGACGGGACAGAAATTTCCATCTACACAGGATCATGGGAAGGAAATAGAAAATCGACTACAAAGCAGCACCAATGAATTCTGAGTAACAGGTTGCCACCAGTTTAGTCAATTTCATTGGCTCAGTTTCCCTGAGCATTCTGAAGATTCCAGGCCACCATCCTTCCTTATGGAGAGGGAGGACTCACCAATTTCATACTCAGTGTTTGTAGTTCATCCCCGTCTGTGTCAAGAAGGCTTCTGAACTTATGTGTCTGCAACCTTGAGCAGAGTGACCCTTGGTCAGGCAAGCTTTAGCAGTCCTTGTTATTTTCATGCTAATTTCCTTTATTGGATGCAGGGAAGGTTGCTGACTTGTCTAAAGGTGGGGAAACTGGCAACAGTAATAGCTTATGGCATTTATTGTTACAAATACAGTGTCTGGCACCAAAGTAGAAGCTCAATGAAAACAAATTTCATTGTTTGGGGTGACAAAGTTTGGAGCAGTCATCAAGTCTCCTGATTCTCTTTGTCTCAAAGCAGGTCTCACACAATAAAAAAGATCTACTTTTCTTTCTAATTGTAGCTTTAGTATTTTATTATTAACATGTGTGTATCTGAATAAATGTGTGGTGTGTGTGTGTGTGTGTGTGTGTGTGTGTGTGTGCCATGTGTGTGTGTGCCATGTGTGTGCCCACACCCACAGAGACCAGAAGAGAGCATCAGATATCCTGAAGCTAGAGTTACTACCGTTGTGAGCCTACTGATGAGGATGCTGGGAACCACCTTGGGTCATCCTGCCAAGTCAGCTTTCTTTCTGGTTCTCCCTAGCTCCCCAGACTCAGTTCTGGTGTGTGCTGGGGGAGCTGCAATGGGACAGCTGCTGTGTATGTCATCTGATCTCCAGAGCTGGGGTTCATGGAAGTGTGTTGGATAAGCGTATATGGGACTGGGAATCCTGCATCCTGTAACTTCACTGGCTGGGGTGTGTAAGGAGCACTGCATGTGTTCCAGCTGTCAGCAGAGCACACCCTCTGGCTTCCTGGGACAGCCAGTGTGCTGAGCAGCACGCGACTTTCCTTATTTCATCCATCTCTTTGTATCCTAACCTAGGTGCTTCTTTCCTTTTTGAACATACTTATAATCACTCCTTTGAGTTCTCTGTCTGGGATTTCATTTAATTCAGCCTCACTAGATGCCATACTGTGGAATTAGTAATTTTTGGAGGAATTAGGCTACATTGGCTTTTCATGCCTTACTTCATTGGGCTGTGTGTACCTGGTGCTATTTCTTTGCTTGGTTTTTTTTTTGTCAGCTATATTCTTTTAGTTGAAGTATCTGTAATGTTCACATGAGACTTAGGTGTGGTAGAGTTGAGTGTTCAGAAAATAGTTCCATAGTCAAGCATCTCAGAAGGCCTGGAGTCAACTATATTTCTCGGAGTAGGATATTAATTGTGAGAGCAGCCGCATTGTGCTACACACACTCACATGCATGCGCGCGCACACACACACACACACACACACACACACACACACACACACACACACATACACACACACACACACGTACGTAATGGAAAGTTTTTAGAATGAGTGAAGAATCTGAATAGGTCCTCCTTAAAAGAAGACCTGCAAATGGCTTTTAAAGGCAGACATTTCTTATGGGAACTGTGGCCATGTCTCTTTGATGGTATTTTAGGAGTTCCTGTGTGGTCATGTCTCTTTGATGGTATTTTAGGAGTTCCTGTCAAAGAGTCAGGTGTTTACTGTAATCTTTTATTCACTTATCCCTCTAAATAGGAAACTATCTACCTGTTGCTATTAGTTGTCATCTCTCGGTTCTAAACACCAAGTTTGTGGAAAAGCATGCTGAAAATTAATCCAAAGGCAAATATGTAAAAAGCAATTTCTTGTTCTCACGATGGCCTTTCATGCCAGAAAATTCCTTGCTGCTGGTTGGATCACTCTGAAATGCCTGTTGACACATATTTTGGGAGAACTTAGGCAGTCAGAGAAACCTACCTTCCCTTGTGGTCATAAGATCTCTTGAGATTCTCCAGGCTTTATGCTAGCTCAACAGTGTAAGCCAGCCACCTGTTAGCAAGCAGGCATCTAAAGGGTCATCTTGTCACCTGCCATGTGACAAGGAGATGTCTTTTATTCTGAATTCTCTATTTCCTCCTCTCTACAAGTGTAGTCTGAATATCCTCTTTTTACTAATTAAATAAAGGATATTTGTTAAAAAAAAAATAGTTTGTTAGCCGGGCGGTGGTGGCAAACGCCTTTAATCCCAGCACTCAGGAGGCAGAGGCAGTTGGATCTTTGTGAGTTGGAGACCAGCCTGGTCTACAAGAGCTAGTTCCAGGACAGCCTCCTAAGCCACAGGGAAACCTGACTTGAAAAAAAAAAGTTTGTTAAGGGCAATGACAGATGAAGAAGCACACAGGTCTTACTGCAGTCCAGATGTCTAACAAATGTCTTCTGCCTCTATTTGGCCTTTCCAATGTGCCAGCTGTCAGACTTTTGTAGTAGATATTGCTGGAAATAAAAACAAAATCATGACCTAGAACCTTTGAGTTGCTAGACATGGCTGGGCAGAGCTGTTACAAGCACCTCCACAGTGAGGCTGAGAAGGGATGAGAATTGACCCCACATCAGAGAATTAGAAAGGCCACTGGGGAGAGCTGACTTGTAAGAAAAAAGCCCCATTGAGAGGTGGTGGTTCTCTACTTTTCCTATTCTACTTTTTATTTATACAATTATTTACCCAGAGCTAAAATGCCCAGGATGAAGCACATACTTCATTATATTGCTGTGACAATGAGTAGCTCATAGAATTTTCCAGAGCTGGATGTGGTGGCACAAGCCTATAATCTCAGTATTTGGAAGGCTGAGGCAGGAATATTAACAGTTTAAGGCCACTTTGGGGCTACTAAAATATAGATCAACAACTTAGAAAATACAAAAATCAAGCAAACAGTTTGGTTTAGGATTCTCAGCTCAACCTCAAGCAAGGAGCTAAACTGTAGGCACTAGGGCCCACAGACAGAGCAGAAGGAGGCAACACTGACTCCATCTTTCTCCAGCTTTGTGTAGGCTCTCAAAGAAACATTTTCTATATAATCCTTTGGAAGATATGGTCTGAAAGGAAAAATCATGTTTTGTGATTGAAAATGACCCTGAGAGTGGGGATGCGTGCCATAGGGTACTTTAGTATAAAGACTGAACTCCATTCAACTCAGTCCAGCAGTTCAAAACCAGTAACAAGAGCACTCCTGCCCCACTCACCTTTTATTCTCACAGCTCAGATCTCCCCTTGTCATCAGAACCTGTCCTTGGCATACCACACTCCCCTTAAGGTCTGTCCCCATATCTCTTACCAGTACTTGCCTTCAGAGGGGCTTTCTCAGCTGGCCCGTCCCTGTGACCTCCTCCTTCCTTCCCCTTAAATGATCAACTAAAGCTTACTGAGCCTGTGACCTTGTGAACCCAAAGGACAAAGAGAGGTCTAGGAGATCAGACTAGTTCGGAGCAGAGCCCCGGAGAACAAGAGTGAACTGACAATGCGTGTGAGATGTGGTCTGTGAAATGAGCATTGAACACAGTGGCTATGACAGTGATTTGTGACTTGTAAAATGCTGGCCAAACATTAAGCTCATATCCTTGAGGAAGATGATAGAGTTAAAGTGGAATATGGAAGTCATCCAATAGTTTCTACAAACTAACTTTCTCTTCAATTACAAAAGGGACAGTAATTCATTGGGGGAGGGGGTAAATAAACATTAACGAAAGGAAAACTTCCCATAGCTAGATTAGTGAGTATGAAGCCTTAAATTGTAGTATTTTATATCCTGTATTCCCATGTGAGATCAGTTTCTGTGGAGATTTACTGACTTTGGTGGCAGAGTTTGCATCATGACTTACTTTGGTCAGCTGAGTATGAGTGGCATCTGCATGGGCTACCTCCAACACTTTAGGAGGCTTTGTATGGCCCTGCCATGTTTCCTCTTCTGGTTTGAGTCAGTAGATTTCGGTCAGGAATTTCCCACCACCCTGGGTCCTGGAATGAAGAGCCCTGTCACAGTCATGGGAGACAGACATTAAGAGTAGGATCTTGGGATTTGGGTGCTGTGGTTTATTTCAGCTTAATTTACCTCAAGATATGTGATACACAAGATTTGAACACTTAATATTACTTAATTATGTAATTAGTTTTCTTTGCTCATAGTAGGCTACTTTTTTCATTTCAGTTTGAAAATATTTCAGGTGTGTCTTTAAAAGGCAAAGATTTTTTAAAAAAAGAGTTGGTGTGTGAAAGAGAGAGGGACAGAGGAAGGGACAGGAAGGAGGGAAGGAGGAGGCGGGTGAGGTATGTGTACATGTTCTCGTGTGTGGGCACAGACACATGCATGCTGTAACCGGAGTGTGGAGTCAGAGGACAACCTTTAGGATTTGGTCCTCACCTCCCACCTTGTTTGAGACACGGCGTATTCACTGATACATAAATCAGGCAGGCCGGCCATGTGCTGCAAGGCATCCTCCTGTCTGGGTGTCCTCATAAGGAGTGCTGGGATAGCAGATGCTTACACCATTGCACCTGGCTTTTTATGTGGGTTCTGGGGCTCAGAACTTGGGTCATCAGGCTTGATTAGCAAGAACTTTTTTTTTTTCTGCTGAGCCATCACCCTAGCTCAAAAGATAAGGATTCTTATTAAAAATAACTGTAAAACCATTATTGCCTCTAAAATTAATAATATTTTTTCATGGCTCCAGATATTAGTGCTTGTAAACATTTACCTGATTTAATGTGTTGTTTATTTCAGGCATCCCAAAATGGCCCATACTTTGTAGTAAGTTGATAACTCTTAAATTTTTAATATTTTTTATTCTTTGATTTTTTTGTTTTGTTTTTTGGGTTTTTGTTTGTTTGCTTGTTTGTTTTGAGACAGGGTTTCTCAGTGCAGCTTTGGAGGCTATCCTGGCACTCTCTCTGTAGATCAGATTGGCCTCAAACTCACAGAGATCCGCCTGCCTCTCCCTCCCAAGTGCTGGGATTAAAGGTGTGCGCCACTGCCCAGGCTTATTCTTTGATAATTTATGCATATAGTGTTTCTTGATCATATTTATTTTCCATTTTTCCTCTAACTCCTTCAGGACCCACCCTGACCCTTCATCCTTCCTCCCAACTTCACGATCCCCCCTATTTAAAAATTACCAACTAAATCCAATTTTGCTGACCATAGACTCATGGATATAAGCAGTCTTGTTTTTATACTCCCCCTCCCTTTTTTACACTTGTAGAATTTTTACAGAAGAAATAAAATCAGTTGTTCCATGGAGTTTCCCACTGTCTAGATGTAGCTGAATGTGTATTTATGGTATCATGTTTACTTCCATATTTGTTTCTGTAAACTGACGATTAAATCTAGAGGTTTAAATTTAGGAAAAATAGCTTGATGGCGGAGTGTTTATTTAGCACGTGCAATGTTGTGTATTCCACCCCCAGCCCTATAAAATAAAACACAAATAAATCTAGACATTTGATCAGATTTAATGAACAGATTTGTAAACCCAATACGTTACATTTCCATGTAACTTAATGTAATCTTATAAGACGTTTTTAAATTATTCATCGCATTGTTGGCTATGTGAATGGTTGGACTGTTTGTAAGGTTTTGCTGGCACACACAGCTCACTGATGTGGACTAATCACTTCCTGGCTTGACTCTCAACCCTTTTGTTAGTTTCTGCAGCTGGTGGACGCCTGTGCCACCTTCCTCACAGAAGCCTTGAACCCAGAAAATTGTATTGGAATACTGAGGCTGGCTGACACACACTCCTTGGATGGATTAAAGATGCAAGTTCAGAGTTACATCATTCAAAACTTTGTTCAGATTCTGAACTCTGAGGAGTTCCTGGAACTCCCGGTGGATACCTTGTATCACATCTTGAAGAGTGATGACCTTTGTGTGACTGAGGAGGCTCAAGTGTTTGAGACAGTGATGAGCTGGGTCCGGCACAAACAGTCAGAGAGACTCTGCCTACTCCCTTGTGTTCTGGAGAACGTGCGCCTACCACTTCTGGACCCGTGGTACTTTGTGGAGATGGTTGAAGCAGACCCTCTCATTAGACAGTGTCCTGAGGTCTTCCCGCTGCTCCAGGAAGCTCGGATGTACCACCTTTCTGGCAATGAGGTAGGTTGGACTTCATCAACAATGTAAGGAGTTAGCCAGGGCTCTCAGAAGTGCAAGTGACCCTTGCTCACAAATCCTCAGGCCAACAAGTGGAGGAATCAATTCATTCTAGAAGCTGGGGGTTCCTGATCTGTATAATGGGGATTATATCACATTTTCGCACAGCTGTTGGGAGGATTAGGTGAGAAATGGAAACCTTTTGCCACTGTGCCTGTCACATCCTTCCTTTGCCCAGTTGTGTGTGGTGCCATCCAATCACCATTCTGAAGGGATTCTACTTGTTTAAAACTTCCCACTCTTGTGAGAGAATTTGTATCTGTTGTTCTATTCTGACACTGCCTAGATCCAGAGTCTCACCATTTCTTTCCTGAATTTATGGAATTTTCTTAGACCTCATTACTGTGCTCCCAGTCTGGTCTGCCTCCAATTCATCCCCATTCCTGGGATGATGGAAGATGCAGGTGTGAATTTGGCTATTAGCCTGACCTTTTCACTGGCTTTCCATCACTTTGAGGAAGACATCCACTCTTTCTCCTAAAGTTCCCTGAACTCTGCTCCACCAAAATACCTCTTGTCCAGGTCTCTGGCATCATTTACCACCCATTTCTACTGTGTGTATTTGCTTTTAAAAATTTAAAAGCAAATTTAAAATATATTTTTAATTAAAAATATAATTAGAATATTTTGCATTTTCCATTTCCTCCCTCTAACTCTTTTCCGTATCCCCCTTATGCTCAAATTCATGGTCTCTGTCTCTTTAATTGTTGATGCATACATTCTGCTATAGTTTTGTCCTACTGTGTCCAGTTCCTCTAAAGGATATATTTTTCTAGCCTTCAGGACAAGGCAGATGCTGTCTAAATGCTTCCTTCTTTTTCTTCTTCTACCTAACTTCTGCTTCTGGTCCAAAATTTAATCCAGTTATCTTCTCCAGAGAACGCTTTGTGTTCTCATGGCCATCGGTTCAACTCTGGTCATGACACCAAATGCTACATGGTACCATTGCATTCATCTTCTTGTAAATATTCTAAATGTGTAACTTGTTATAGAAGGAACTGGGTACTACTGGAGGTTTTTTTTTTTTTTTTTCATCTCTAGGCCTTAGGAGAAATCCCTGGTGTATTGTGAATGGTGATGTTTATGGATGACTAAATGAGCACCAAGAAAGCATTTGCTCCTACCTGTTCTCCTTTGCAATTTCTAAAGATCTTTTTAAACCCAGAATCTTGTAAAGGCAAGGCCCAGTTTAGTGGAGGAGCAAGCTCACTAGGAAGCTATAATATAGGAAGAGATTGCTGTTGATTTCCAGGCATGAAACCTCACGTTTGTCTATCACTGTGCAAAAGTTCCAAAGCTCATCTGCAGGCTATGGTAGAAACTGCAGCCCAAAGTTGTTCAGGAATCGTATCTGTCTGTGATTCATCTGGAGGATGTTTCTTTATCTATGTGGATCTCTGTGCTTCTTGGTTTTAGAACTGTTTGCTGCTTGTCTATTCTTCACAGGTATCCTGAATGTTTGGTAGTATAGGACTTGGGCAACCTGGGGTTTTCTCTGAGAGAGGAGGTTTTCACTTCAAATCACATCCCACTAACAGATACAGTGCTGCTCGAGTTGTTTGTTTCTTTTCAAATGAAATGGAGTTGCAGAGAATTTCTCCATCCATACAAGTAGCTGGATTTGTTGGCATAAAGCTATTTGTAATTTCCTCACATCATCAGCACTATTTATAGACATGCAGTGATGTGGACCTGAACTATTTACAGAATCTGTAGTGGCATAGCATCTTGAATTCCAGATAGTGGCTCTTTGTGCCCCCACCCCCACATTGGCCTGGCTAGATGTATCATAAATTTTGTTGCTTTTTCTCAATAAACTAACTTCTGGTTTCATTTTATTTTCTCTTTTGTTTTTTGTTTTCTATTTAATTTTCTTTCTACTTTGATCCTGATAGAGTTCTTTTTTCTGTTTAGTTTCTGAATTTACTATTTCTTCCTCTAGTTTCTTAAAGAAGAAGTCAAGGACATTGCTTTTGAGATCTTTCTTTCTCCCATCATTTACCCATATGAAATCGCTACATAATGAATTATCCTACAACTTCGCAGTTGAAAGCAGCAGATGGAGATGAGGATCCATGGCATAGTTCTTGCCATGATGCCCTGTGTTCAGTCCTGCACTGCAAAAGGAAAAAGAAGAAACTAAAATGGCTTGGTTTAGTTGGGTAGCTCTGACTTAAAGTTTCTTACTAGAAGCTGGTCTATCATCTGTTGGCTTAGACTTCAGCAGTCTCAAAGTTCAAATGAGATCAGAGCATTCACATGACACTCAAGGTATTGTGAGCCGGCATCCATTCTTTACTGGTTATTGGCTTGAAGTTGTGGTTTCTTGCCATGTGGGCATCCACATAGCAGATGGCATTCTTCTAGAGCAAATTACCTAAGAGAGACTAAGAAAGCAACCAGTATGGAAGCTTTAGAGCTCTGGGTAGTCTGGTGGAACACCGCTTCTGCTGTAATCTTTTGGTTAGAGAGACTGATTCTGGAACAGTATGGAAGGAACTACATGGGCTCTGAGTTCTGGGAGGAAGACATTACTTGAGGCCATTGTGGAGACTGGGTACCACAGTGATTTGTATTGTAAAAAGTAGTCCATACCAGGGACCTTGGTTACCTGTTTTGCTCATCTGTAAACCCACCCATCCATAAACTCATAGAAGCCCACAAGCCCCATGTGCTGAGAATCCATTAGAGAAAAAGGGCTGTCCTTATAGAAAATTACAAGACTGTCCTTGAAGCATCGCCAACAGTACTGAAATGGTCACTGAACAAAGACAACCAGCATCCGTTGGAGGTTGTGCCTCAGCTGTGGGAGTGAAGGTTTGGGGACATAAACCAGGCTCATGTTGGGAAGAAAGGTGCAGAGAAGCAAAGTTTGTCTTTGGTGCCAACTCACTGTTTAAATCCTACCTACTCACTCAGTACCTTCAAGTGTCTCCAAGCTCTCTGGCCCACTGCCCCCATCCTTACTCTGTGGACTTTCTGTTATTTTTCCTCTCAGGCTCAGCACATTAATGAGGATTTATACTGCCACACGCCTCTCCACTCTTCCTTTGAACTCACAACTAACAGGACTGCTGCAAATGTTATGGCCACAGGCCAAGCTCAAAAACCGGGGATGCAAAATTTACTAGATCTGGTTCTTCGGCACAGAAAAACAAATAATAAAAAAACTGATGGAAAAGCAAAGGTTGGGTATTAGCTGATGTTTCATTAACTTTCCTTGGGGAGACACAAACAAACTACCAGATTCATTCTAGACAGAGCACTAATGACAGACCAAAACAATGATTCCACTGAAGTTCAACTTGATGAGCTGAATAGTTTATTATATTTCCTTATAGAGCATGGGTAAGGGGTGACCCCAAGCAGCTCCATCACTGAAAAGTCTTTCAACATTATGGATGATAATGTTATGCAAATGGCACCATGAGTCCAACTTTTACTGTAGCGATTCCCAAGATCACTTGTAGCTGGAGGAGAACAGGAGACAAATAATGGTTGGACTCCCAGATAAAAGTCCCTCTCCTTCTACTAGAGAGTGTCAATAATATCAGTGACTGTTACTATAGACTCATTACTGTAGTGTTATATTAGTGCGCTTGGCCCAGGTCTTGGTATATAGTAGTATAGAACACAGACCATCTTACTGTTTCTTTCCTCTACAATTGAGGCTCCCACCCAGCTCTCTCTCTGGGACAAACAGTTGATAAGGAGGGAAAACATGCTATGATGCAGCCTGGGTGGCCGTTCCCCCATGCACCAGCAAAACAAGCTTCTAGTCCTTTCTGCTGCCTGTTCCATGCCCCTTGGCATGTACAGGGTAGGATAGACTGAGTACCTTTGAGATGCTTGCCTACTTCTTGAAAACCCGTGAGTCAGAAGCATCCTTTCCTCTTGGGATTTGAAGCAAAGGCTCTCTGTTTCTGTCTCTTCTCTCTCTTTCCTCCCCCCCACCTCTCTCTCTCTCTCACACACACACATCCCTTCAAGGCCCCATTATGGCTGCCTGTGGTTACAATGCTTTATTTCTCCTAAGAAAGTTCCTCTTTGGACCTGAAGTCCTGCTATCCGTTCTAGGTTCCCTCCTAATAAAGACCTTCTGAGGGGTGACATGTGTCAGCAACGTCCCATGGACCTGCCACCATGGTCTTTCTTTTTTACATTATGACAGTAGGTATTGAATAAATGTTGACTTTGGCTTTCATTTCAGGAGGTCAGGTTTCAGAGCAGGTAGAAGAGTTGGGAAGTACATTTGATGGCAAAAAGACTCTTGTCTTAAAATAGCATCAAAAATGACAGGTAACAGTTTATTCAGGACCTATTACACAGCAGACACTGGGTTATCACTTTTCATGCATTGTGTCATTTAATAGAATAAACCTACTGGGTAGTTACAATCACATAGCCATTATACAGGTGATGAAATCATGGCCAACAAGAAGTCACAAGGCTAGCAATGGTGGAGGTGGAAATTGGCATCTGCCTTCTGTGGTTCCACAGTCCAAGCTCTGTGAACTGTCATGTTGTGCTCCCTCCACCCACACATCCTCTCATTGATTTCCAGATTATTTCAGAGCGCACCAAGCCCAGGATGCATGAGTTCCAGTCTGAGGTGTTCATGATTATTGGTGGCTGTACAAAAGATGAACGATTTGTGGCAGAGGTTACCTGCCTTGACCCCCTGAGGCGCAGTCGCCTGGAGGTGGCCAAGCTCCCACTGACAGAGCATGAGCTGGAGAGTGAGAATAAGAAGTGGGTGGAGTTTGCCTGCGTGACATTAAAAAATGAGGTCTACATCTCAGGTAAGACAAGGCTGGGATTAAAGCGTTTCTCCAATAGTATTCTGCACGTTCCTCAGTGAAACCAACCAACTGCCCTGCAAGAATGTCTGTGTGTTCACAGTGGTCTAGTGCCGGTCTGTGTGTCGGTCAGTTTATGGAACCAGGAGCTCAGATGGTCTTATGTTGGAGAAAACATTATCAGTTAATAAATACTGTAATGTGAACCTCACAGGCAGCTCCATCCCTCATGGAGGAGCATAAAAAGTGAAGTTAGGGCTTGTTTAGTCTGTTATAGGTGCAGGGCACTGATGTGGGAATAGGACTAGGCTAATAAAATGTCTTATCCTCCCACAAACCTGTCTTTCTCAAATTTCTTAGACATTCTATGGTACATGTCTACTGAAGTGATATGAATATGTATACATTTTCATTGCTAAGTTGTTGCTTAATCATTAACAATTATGTGTGCCTTCTTCTCCTTAGACTTGAAGTTCCATGAGAGTTAACACTGTCTCTCATACCTAGCAATGAAAATGCTCAATAGGCATTTTTTGAGTGACACAGTCTCTGTCATCTTTACAACTTAGTAGGTGAACCTGCACTTTAGCAACATGCAATTGCCAGTCACAGCAAAGGAGGCTAAATTATGAAGTAGGAGGAAACAGGGCACAGAGAGGCTCTTTAATGTAATGCAGGTTACATCCTGGTGTTGGGCAGGATCACAGTCTAGGGACTAAGCCCAGGTCCTTATCATTCATATCAAAAGGATGACACAAACATTCCCTTCCTGTCCCTGTGTATTAAGTGTCCTCCAGGGGGTAATGTTAGCTGTTCTCCAGGTCTGTTCATAATATTGATTAAGCTATAAGTTTCTTTTTATTATAGAAATACTGTATGACTTGAATAATACAGAGAATAGAAAGTAAAATATGGCAGTTTCCCCCCATGTTTTAGTATTTTTATAAAATATTTTTATATTTGGTTAAGATAAGTAATATTAGCTGTTAAACAAGTCCTGAGTCCCACTCAATGAATAGTTATGCGTCCAGGAAGGAAGAACAGGTTTGGTGTTCAGAATTGATCTCTGCCAGTGCACATGCATTTGTTGTTTATAATCTACTTGGAAAAAATACTCTAGCAGACATTTGCATACACAATAGTTTATGGATTTGTGGAAAGACTCCTAGAAGTGGTCTGAAGATAAGTGAATTGAGAATTTGTCAGTTGCTATATTTTTCCTCTACAAAGATTATACGTTTTACAGTTTAACCAGGACCGCTTTTCTACATCCTCAGTAACAATTGTTATCACCAAGTATTTCTGATGTAATAGACTAGAATATATACATTACACTCTTGTATCTTTAGTGATGTTGAGCATATTTCCATATAATTATTGTCCAATTGTATTTATTTTGAAATGTCTTTTCATACCCTTTGGCTGTTTTTCTATTGTTTTGTGTTTGTCTTTTTCTTATTAATTTTTTTGCATCCTTTGTTAAATATCTTTTGCTTTGTGGTATGCTTTCCCTCTAGATTGTGGTTGTCTTTTAGCTTTGATTTATATATTCACAACCATTTCCTTTCCAATGTGATTCTAATTTCGTTTTCATGCCATGGTCTCCCAAATCACCAAGTTCATCTCCTACAACCTCTACTTACTTCACCAAGTCATAATTGGAACTTATTTTAAATAAGTGACATAATAAAGTGACATAGCTATCTAACTTGTCTCCAGGTGGTCAGCTAATAATTTCTATGTATTTGAAATTATATGGTAGTCCCTCCACAGTCATGGAACCAAATAGTGACACCCACCAAACTCAGGGACACAGTCTGTACACCAAGGAGCCAGGTTTGACCACACTTATACCCAAGAAGCCAGTTAAAACAGTAATTAATAGTAAAAGCCATTTAAAACAGCCAGATTAAAAGAGCAGAAAGAGGAGATTTATTCAATGAAGCCACATTAGAAAGAGGGACAAAGATGATCTAGTGACCTGCTCAGGTTCATATTTGGGGCCCTCAAATGAAGTTACAGGCTTTTGATTTGTTTTGTTTTGTTGAGACAGCCTCTCATTAAGTAGCTCTGGCAGCCTCAGAACTCTCTGTGTAGACCAGATTCCCCACCCCTGCCTCCAGAGTGCTGGTGAGAGTAGTGTGTGATTAGAGGGCCACGGACATGCTCGAGTAAGCAAGCAGTCCTAAGGACCACTAAGGTGTGGTCCTGTCTGTCCATCAAGAACCCATCTTTGGCTGGGCTTCCATCTTACCTGACAAGGTTGTCTCAACAGTTGCTAGAACTGTGAAATCTCTTTGTGGCAGACAACCCCCTCAACCCTGCTAGTGCTGTGCTCTCAGCCTGGAGAAATTCTCATTTCTTGGGGTCCATGGTTTCATTTCAGGAGTCGGAAAGGTTTGAGGGACATAAATGCCACTTTAGAATACCTTCATTCCTGCCATGCTGGTTACATCATTGAGCCATTGTTCTTTACTTGGGGGGCAGTCTTGGAGCCTCTATAAAAATTCACAAGCATGTGCCTTTGACCTAGACATCATAATTTTGTGTTCTAAGAGAGTTGTAAAGAAAACATTGGCCATTTCACTCTCAAACAATGAATTGTAGGTATTTCATAATAAAATTAATTAAAAATAGGACAAGGCCTACTGCCATCTAGGGGTGCAGGAATGGGTCCCTTTCCTCTGCCAGAGAAAGAAGTAAAAGGTTGAAAGGTGTGCCGCTAGAAATCTCAGGGAGCCCCAGAAGATCCACCAGATAGCACCCAGGAAGTCTGGTCTCTTTTTGGGGTTCTTGGTCTTATTAATAAAAGGTTTTAAGAACAGACTCAAGGACGATTAGGGTTTAAAAGTAAAACCCAGGAGAGGAAAGCTGTAACTCTCATAGCTGCCTGGAAGCGGGGAGGAGAAAGAATGAGAGAAAAACAAAAGTCACGCTGCTTTAGATAGGACAGCAGACAGCCGGGAGGTCAGCCAACTGGGTGCACGCAGCCCCGAGGGGGTTGGGATGGGGGTGGGGGAGCTTTAGGAAGAGTGCGGAATCCCAAAGCGTTGGTTATGGAGTTTAAAATACGTTAAAGTTCTGGCTATCAACATCTGACAGAGAAGACTGGAGGGAACTAGAAACAGTCGGGCCTCAGAAAGGCGGCAGAGGCAGCCCCACCTAACGGAGGTTCAGTGTAGGGGACCGCCTGACTCAGGGAGGGCACTAGAGTGGGAATTTTGGAAAGGAAAAGACCATTGTCCTAAGGGGGACCTGCCTTCCGGGGAGGATCCCCAGGCCAGATCCCAGGCTGCCCCACTGGTTTAACCCTTGCAAGGAGGCAAAGGTTTGTCTCCACCTAGAGGTAGATTCCATTCTCTATACTACTTTTATACAGATTGAAGATCTAATCGCAAATAAAGTTGTAAGAGCTCTTGGTAATTTCTTCTACACTGTTTCTTCTTCATTTTTTTTTTTGTTTAAGTAGATACAATTAGAACATAAACTACCTTCTAACCTGGCTGTCAAGGCCCTACCATCCTTGCCCAACCTTGTTACTTGCTTCTTGGGGGCACAAACACCGAATTAGACTCTTTGGCTCCCACTCACCCAAATTGACCTCACTGAAGCCTTCTCTGGATCCTTTCACTTGGTCCCTCTTCCTGAGCTTTGGAGGCACAGCCCACCCTCCCTGCCTGTGTGGCTTCTCACTCTTTTGAGTTTGTTTAATCCCTCCTACCAGACCTTCAGAATTTCCCTTATCTTCCCTTAGCTGGGATTTAGTGCTGTTAGAGTTTGGAGAATGCTGCGGGAAAACTGTATTTTGAGACATTTGCTTGATGTTTTTAAATGCTCTGTATCTCTTGTAGGTGGCAAAGAAACACAGCATGATGTTTGGAAATATAATTCTTCAATCAACAAATGGATTCAGATTGAATATTTAAACATAGGCCGCTGGAGGCATAAGATGGTCGTATTGGGTGGCAAAGTCTATGTTATTGGGGGTTTTGATGGCATACAAAGGATCAACAATGTGGAGACTTATGACCCCTTCCACAACTGCTGGTCAGAGGTATGAGAGATTGTTTCTATGAGTAATTTCAAAGCTTAAACAATAACAACAAAACAAAAACCCTGCCTATAGTGGTGGCTGGTGATTGATCACTTTGCTTCCATAGACATCTTGGCTCTGAGCTTTTTTCTTCCTATGAGCCACGAGTCAACTTTACTGATCCAGTTCCAACAATAACATTCTTGCAGGGGGCAGGGCTCTGTGTGGGCATTGTCCTGTGCTAGCCAAAGCCCCATCCATGAGGGGAGGCTGAGCCACATGTCCTGGCCCACAGTCTGTCTTCTCAGATGCCTTCTGTCCTACAGCTCTTCATACCAGAAACCCGAGGATCCATTTCCTCCACCATTTGTGAACTCAGGGTCATTTGGTTATGATTAGAAGTCAGGCTGTATTTCTTTTCTCATTAAGGATGAGCTATTTACAGGCCTTTATTCGAGTTTCTAACAAAGCCACCTCTGGTTAAAAACTGCCCCACGATAAGAAAACAATATTATCTCCAGCATTTCTTGATCATTCTCAAGTGCAGATTTTCTTTTTTATTGTCAGAGTATGTTCCAGCTTCGGGAAGTTTAAACCGTGGTCACTGAAAGCACAAGAAAAGGTTATCATCATGTTGCCATGACATCCAGCTAAGACTGGTGACCCTGTGGGAGCTGGGTCCAAAATGGTCTCTGTTCCGAGAGGTTGCAGGTTAAGATATCTTTATTCAAATAATACTGGCCAAGCACAAGCCAGAGCATGCCCAGAGCAGCAAGCTAGGGGAGGCCAGAGATCGAGAGCCCCCACGTGTCTGCTGCACCTTAAGACCACCCCCCCACCACGCCTTGGCAGTCATGGTTAAGCACATCTGTAGCCAGCCCTTAGGAAGCGTGGTTACAGTGTCTCCCTACAGGTCTCTAATCATCAAGTCCCATCATTTAGTTCTCCAAACTAAAGGGTTATGCAAATCGACAAAAGGCCCCTGGAAGTCTCCTTTAGTGTCCTGGGGGGTCACAAGTTTCACAAACACAAATATGGCTTAATCTCCAAATCTGCAGTGCTGCCCCCGAGTGAGCGAATTTGCATATGTGCATAACTTTAAACCGACATTAGTGGTCAATCATAATTGACCACTGAATGAATATGAATATACTGGTTTCACATACATTGACATTTAGTTTCGCCTCTATCCCTCCTTCCCAGGGAGCTGGTCTCTGGGATAAACAAGCAGGAACAGCTGAGACACAGCTTCTTCCAGGCTTCCAGAGCCTGTAGAGATAGTGGGTTTTGTTTCTCTCTGCATTTTATTGGGAGCTATGGGTTTTGTCATTTCAGTCGAAGCATGCCCAAGCATGTGTGTTCTCCAACAATCTGAGCAGCACACTGACTTCTTGTGCCCTCATTCTCTGCAGGCCGCACCCCTTCTTGTCCATGTCAGTTCCTTTGCAGCTGCTAGCCATAAGAAGAAGCTGTATGTCATTGGAGGAGGACCCAATGGGAAGCTGGCTACAGACAAGACTCAGTGTTATGATCCTTTGACCAATAAATGGATTTTGAAGTCGCCCATGCCAGTAGAAGCTAAATGCATCAATGCAGTGAGTTTTCAGGATCACATCTATGTTGTTGGTGAGTCAGTGATGACTTCTTATATCTGTAGCCCTGCACACCATGGCTACCTCGGAGACCAGTTTTGAGAATGCCTGGGTGATGGGGATAAGGCTGAAAAGGAAGAGAAAGTGGTTTTGGCTCAGGCCTTGTTTGAATTTCCCTTGAAGTCCTGGAGGCAGAAACAACCAGCCACACAAAGCATGGAGGCTGTAGTCCAGTGGAGGAGGTCAGAAATCACTGTGGGAGTAAAGTTTGTAGTAAATATACAGAAATTGAAACATTCAGTGTAACAAGTGCTCAACAAACAGGAAGCATTTGTAAATCTAGTTTGGGATCATGGGAATGTCCTTCCCTTGCTTGGTTTTAGGGACCTGTACTTAGTTGAGAAGAAGCCTGGCCGGCCAGACCACAATTGGCATGTAATTGTTAAAACTCGGTGTTTTTCAGTTCTGACTATTCCTTAGGATTACCAGGAAGTGCTTTATAAAATTACAATGGCCAGGCCTTATGCCAGGCATGGGGAATGAGAGGGAATAGCACAACTGGGTTGTTTAAAACTGCAGCTGATTTTAATGGGCAGCCATGATAGAGAACTAAAGAGATTCCAGCATGCAAATACCCTGGGGGACTAATCAGAGCTAATCAAAGAAGGCATTAAGAGATAAAACACTGGGATACATTATGGAAAATGCAGCTCTCCCTTGCTGTAGGTCTCTTGGGGTTTTGTTTGTGGTCAGGCTCCCAAAGGTTTCAAATGTCCAGTATCAAGATGGGCAGCCCTGATGTCTTCAATCATACTTAATCTCCAAAGAGATGCTGTTCCTAGCCAATGCCAGTTCGATGACTTGTATGAACTGCCTCTGTGCACAGTCCTTTTGTTATTTTATAACCACTGTGATTTTAGTACTTGGGGCCACAGATCAGAACGGGTACCCGAGGCATCAGCTGGGGTTCTTCGAAGGAGCCAGTCTTTAGGTATGTTTGCAACTGTGCAGAGTCAGTTATCTTTTGGAACTAGATTCCCACTGGGTCAGAATTTAAAGGAGACGAAGTTTTTCCCACATTAGTAACCTGGGGATCCATTCCGGCTTTCTGGGAGGAAAGCCACCAGTCTATATTTCTCTGGTAAGACAGCAGATCTCGCCTAATCAGAAGTAGAATTCGTGTGATTGATGAGAAAAGACCCAGAAGGATGTCCAGCGTGAGTTTCTTTCTTTGCAGGTGGTGCCATGAGAGCGCTCTATGCCTATAGCCCTCTGGAAGACAGCTGGTGTCTGGTGACACAGTTCAGTCATGAGCGAGCCAGCTGTGGCATTGCACCCTGCAACAACAGGCTGTATATCACTGGTGGGAGGGACGAGAAGAATGAGGTCATTGCCACTGTGCTCTGCTGGGACCCTGAGACTCAGAAGCTGACTGAGGAATGTGTGCTGCCACGAGGAGTGTCACACCACGGCAGCGTCACCATCAGGAAGTCATATACTCACATCCGGCGGGTTGTGCCTGGAGCTGTATCTGTGTGACTGCAAAGGGAATCAGGAAGATGCCCCTGGAGTCCCTGAGCACTGACTGTGCACCCCAGCTTGCTCAGGTCCCTTGTGAGCCTCAGGCTTGGCTTGGGTTTAAGGCTTATCATGGGGCACTTAGGAAGCTACAGCTTTGAGACCAGCCGGGAATGCTTGTGTGACCTACCTCAGGATGAAGGGTAATGTTTAACATTCCATACATGCCTACTTATTCTGGCCTGTGCTGGGCATTTATCCATGGTAATTCACTTAACTATGGTAATGACCGACTGCTGGATAGTATCGTGCCTGTCTTAGAGTTGAAGAAAAGGAATTCCAGACAGGCCAACCTTTACCAGGTCACTCAGAGAGCAAGTAACTCAGTCAGAATAAACCCAGGGCTTTCCATGTCAGTGTCTCTCATCACACTGCTTAACTCAGATAGGAAAACCAAAAGCCAACCCCAAACTTGGCTGGTGTGTCTTTCTGGCAACTTTGCTGAAGACAGGGAATAAAAGTGTTTTTCTGTGCTGTCTTCCTTTTATTCCTTGTTTATACGAGACCACCGACTGGTCTTGGAAGCATTTGGAGCACTTGTCAACAGCTTTTCTGATGATCTCCCACCAGACATGTCTGTTGGGACAGGTCTGGGAAGGCCCATTTGTTTTGAAAAAGGTGAAAGACATGTCTTGCTTTCCCCTACATTGTAACTGTTGTCTTTGATTATAGGATGTACCATTTTGTGGACTAGAACTATGGCTGGGGGTAGCACAGTGGATAGAGCACTTGCTGTAGCCAGTTAGTGGCTGGGTGTACTTGCTGTACAACTGTGAGGACCAGTGTTTAGAGCCCTAGAGCCCACATGAAAGCTGAGCAGGCATGGTAGTTGCCTACAATCCCAGCACTTGGGAAGCAGAGACAGGCGTTCCCCAGGGCAAGCTGGGCAGTTCAGTCAGAGTTGGTGACTCCAGTTCATCGTCAAGAGACCCTGTGTCGGTAAATGAAAATGGACCGTAATTGCCTGGAAGAGGGCTCATCAGTGAAAAGTACAGCATGACTGAGGAAGTCATTTGACATCAACTTTGGGCCTTCATACTTGTGAACACACCCACACCACACATTAAAAAATAAAATTGAATTAAAAATTAAAATAAGGGCTGGAGAGATGGCTCAGAGGTTAAGAACACCGACTGCTCTTCCAGAGGTCCTGAGTTTAGTTCCCAGCAACCACATGGTGGCTCACAACCATCTGTTATGAGATCTGGTGCCCTCTTCTGGTGTACAGATATACATGGAAGTAGAATGTTGTATACATAATAAATAAATAAATAAAATCTTTTAAAAAATTAAAATAAGAGCATTTTTGAAGTATTACCTTACCTTCCCAATGATTTGGTGTCCTGGCCTCTTAGTGTGCAACTACTGTTTTATTTGTATTCTTTCTTGCTACCTCTTGTGGATATCGTCATACTACTGGCCACATCTTCTAAGAGTTTTTTTCTGTAACAGCTTCTTTTGGGTGGAATTCAAGAATTTGAGTGTATGTTCCCAGAACCTGACTTTCCCGGACCTTAGTTTTTAGGGTCCCTGTAAATCCTATGTGGGGTTTCAGATCATCTTGGCTCAGTTTCCACAAAACAAAAACAAAAACAAACCAAAACAAACAAAAAAAACAGAGTCAGCCCTTCACTGAAAGCAAAGAAATTTCAAATGAACTCAGTGGACATGTATTTTCATTCCCGAGGTGGAGAAAGAGGCCATAAGGTCTTGTTTCATATGCTGTAGTAAAGAACACAGTGACTCCATCATCTGACATGCCTTATTCTCATTGTATAAGTTTCCGTTCTCTTTGTAGGGTTGGGCTTTATGTCAGAGGGTCATACAGTTCTTAGACACCTCAGCAGTTTGAGAAGTTAGTGGAATTAGAGTTGACAGTGAGTTTAATTTTCATTAAAAAGTTATGTCTGGAAGAAATTACTGTTCAAACTAGATTTTAAGACCTTGGAAGTTCCTCGTATCTAGATCTTCGAGGATAAACAGAAATGCATGTTGGTGTTTGCATTGCTCTGTCTGCTCATCAAACGTGACAGTTCTGCTCCCGACTATGGGATGTAAGAGGGGCAATACCTTTGTGTATTTTCCCTCCATGTTCATACATTTAGAGCACATTGTCACTCCTTAGCACTAACCATGTTCACAACACTCTCAACTGGAATAGTTCACTCTAGTTCAACTCATCTAGTATTCAAGGAGTCCTCCATGCTTGTTGAAACTCAGCTCTGACTAGTGAGTGACAAATCCCTTCCCTACAGACACTCAAGAAATAAGTAAAAGGCTCGCCGGACAGTCTTCTCAATCACCCTTTCCTTGAGTTAACTAAAAGTGAGAGGCACATGAACTCAGAGGCTGCATCCATGTTTTGGCTGCCTTCCGAGAATCCCTTCTGGCATCCAGGAACTAAAGTTAGCTAGTCAAGTTGCTTATGAGATTCTCTTTGAGCTTGAGGATGGAATCCATGTGTGAGCACAGGAGAAGTCAGTCGGGTCCAAAGGCTAGTCCAGAGGAGAGCTGCTTAAGAGCAAAAGCCAAGCAACATCATTAGCATATATGGAGAGTTTATATGGAGAGTTCTCCCTCACTCCTTGTAGAAAGCTGGTGGCTACCTTTTGATGAGTTTCTGATGTAAACAGCTCTCTGTGTGTCACAGGCTGAGAAGGTAAGGACTTTGAATCTGACTTACAGATCTGGCCCAAAGTGGAAATCTTGAGTTTCAGGACTAGTTCTCAATTCATAGGCGCTCATATGGAAGAGCTGCATGATTTTTATAATACTGGAGAAGCATGCAAGTTGTAGCAAAGTCACAGGTACTTGTACTCAAGAAACAGGAATCCTTGGGGATGAGTGGGAATGGGGACACATGTTCTTATAAGATTTAGCATTCTACATTTGAAGCTGCCCAGCTGTATGTAGCTCATAGAGAGGGGGAAAAAGTTTGTCATTTTGCACACAATTTGTAGAGTAATCAGAGTTTGGGTTTCCAGGTGTCGGAGGTATGGGCATGGACCTCTGGGGCAGGCACTAAGGGTTTTCGGGTTCTTCACAGTGAATTGTACAGGGACACATGGATGGTTGCTGGAAAAGAAAAGGATGGTTAAGGAGAGATACAGAACCATCTGGAGTGTGCCATACCTGCCCAGTGACATGCCTTCACAAAGGCTTGAAGGGAGAGAAAGGCTGGGATGAGGGTTCCAGTGAGTTATTACCATAGTACCTGTGTCACCCAAGTTCATACAACACAGGCTTTTCCCAGCACGCTTTTGTGACTAAATGAAGCTCCGTTAGACCAAAGGCTTTTCCCTGGTGTCACCCTGTATATGTTAATCTTTGGGATTTCCTTCCACTGTCTTTTTGCACCACATACATACTAAACCCTGTTTCTTTTCTAAGAGGTTTTCATTACTTTTCTGTTGTTATGATAAACTACCACGACCCAAATCAACTTCACATCGAGGACAAGTTTTCATTGGTGAGGAGGCATGGTAGCCAGAACCAGAGGCTGAGAGTCACAACTTTAACCACAAACACAGAAAAGAGAGTGAACTGAACATGAGGTAAATCTATGAACTCACAAAGTCTACCCACTGATGTACTTTCTCCAGATAGACTATAACACCTCTTCACACAGTACCACGAGCTTGGGGTTCAATACCTGACGAGCCTATGGGGAGGGAAGCGTTTCTTACCTAAACTACCACACAAGGCAAAACCCAAACCAAAATAAAACAAAACCCCCAACCAACACCAACAAAACTCCACTAAAATCATTACCAAATTAATATTGTAACCCACATTACCACTATGGGGAAAGCTAGGGACTACCTCAGAGCCAGAGTACCCCGGGACTCGAGCAGGATGCCACGGGACATTCAGATATAGCAGGCTACATCTTGAGGCAGAATCCCCTGAGTGGCTGAGCATCCTTGGCAGAGAGGAGGTGGAGGTCAGCAGCTGAGGATGAGGGTGTGGAAAACGCAGGCATTCTGGAGCTGGTGAGCATGATTGCAAGAGGAAAAGGGAGTAAGGAATAGACTTCCAAACAAGGAAGCAGGAAGGGACCCAATGTTGAGAACTGAAACATGAGTCTAAGCAAGCAGGCAATTTGTTGTGGGGCTTTTGAGCTACCTGGTTGTCTTTTCCAACCTAATGGACCCAGAGAGTGAGGCCCAGTTCTTTGATGGAATAGAGTCGATAGACGAAGTTAAGGGGCCATAGTGACCAAGGTTAGTCTGAAGCAGCATGATCTAAGTTCACCCAAACTCCACCATGTTCTCTTCTTAGCATCCATTTACTCTGGTCTCAGTGACTTTGGGAAACGAGCACACATACTCTGCCCTTGGACTCAAAGCAAACTCTGCTATTAGGGAAATAAAACCTCTGGGAAAGCTAGTGGTCTGATAAGTTAATAGATTCCAAAAGGTTTCTCATCTATTAGTCACAGGACTTTAGCTTTGACACAGAGGAGGACAAAGGATGGCTATTCCAGGGACTGAAACTAGCCCAAGATAAAGCAAGCAGCCCTGGACCTGCCTCATTCCAACCCCTCCAACCACTGCAATTTTAGTCAATCGGTCTTTGTAGACATAGTTTCTTTTCAGGAATTCTTGTTCATGTGGTTGAGTACATGGTCAAGATGGCAGCACCTGAAGCACTAATGCCCTAAAGGCTCAAGACAGTTGGGAACACTCTGGACAGGAAACTTGACACAATGATAACATCTGTGGGCAGTTAGGATCCTGGAAGCTCCCCATAAGAGGCTCAGCAAACCAATCTCTGCTGATATTTACAAAGCCGAGACTGCAGGAGCAGATGTACAGATGAGATCATCCCCCTAAAAGCCCCCCTTTGCCCTGTAAAACCTCATGTCCCTGTGCAGTCTCCACGCCTGCAGGGAGACCACTGCCCCTCATGCTCTAATAAGGGACAATCTTCTTCTGACCAGGTTGCTCTCTTTTTCCTTT